ACCCGACCCCGTGTCATACGGGATCTACGGGGAATTTTTGGCCGAACCTACGGGTTCGGATACCCTACATTAAATTCGGCCTTGTACCACATCTGACTGCGTGGAGTGGTTGGTCGATATCCTGCAGTTGGAGATTCATTGTGGAATTCACTTGACTACTTCTTCTACGCGCCGCTGGCGAATCTTATATATGTTGATCGTGTCCTACGTATTAGCGTTCATTACCAACCTTCGTGTGATTATTCTATTCAGTAACTTTCCCTAGGTTACAAGAATTATAGAAGTTATATTATAGAAGTCATTATTAAAATCATATTAAGAAATTATTTAAATTTATTTGAAATCTGATCATCTTGCCATCAGCGAAGTGTCAGATACTGAACTAATACATCAAAATTCTAATGGTAAAGTGAGTGCTTTCTACTACCATCATCAGTTCATAAATAAACCACTTATTTTATGTCAGGTAACAATTTTGTTTTAATTTCTATGACATTGTGTAGAGACGTTATCTCTAATTTAACAAAATAAAATTATGAATTGAATAGCATACACATGAATCTTACGATTTTTTTATTATTATTAAAACTCACAAACAGCAGCAGCTCATAGAAACAAGTAAACACCGATGCAGACAACCTACACACAATTAAAAATTGTCCACAGACAAAAAGTTCTAGCCTACCCAGACAGCCAGTCAGATATAAAACAGACAATATCTTTGCTGAACAGCAGACTTACAAGCGGTCTGATAGAAGTTTCTAATCAGGCGGTCAGAAGACACACACACAGATACTCAATTAATCTAACATATGCTACTCAATTAATCTAACAGATGCTGCTCAATGAAAGAATTTTCAATATTGCACACACTAAAGGGTTTTTCCTTTCCTTTTAATTCCTTTTAAATTGTTATGTGAAATGTTTTTATTATAAAACTTCTTCATAATTATTTGTTATTTATTGACGGAGTTCAAATACTCAAATTATCTTTCGAAGTTTGGGTAGATGAATCATTCTTTAAATGTTTTTACTATTATACATTGATTTATTCGGACCAATTCCCCTTAATTTTTTTGTCGTTATGACATTATTTTAACTGTGGCACTCTTCGGACTTGCTGGGAGTTTTTTTCTCATTTGGTGACCTTCAAATGAGAATATAGAATTAAACCTTTTATTTAATCGAAGTTTATTTTATTTTTGAAATCAGATGTGGATATACTCTGAAAAAAAAAGTATTGTCAGATTTTAAAAAACCATTGATTCTTTGTGGCGCAAATAATGAAGTTAAAATTAACTTGTCTTTCCTGCATCTGCAACGTTATCGTCGTACAGAGTAATGGAAACCAGAGAGTTAATCTCTCCTACACATCGTCCAAAATGCTCTGAAGGAGAAAATGCCCAACAGCTCCGTCTGATGTAGCCCTCAATGCAGGATTTACTAAGACCTACTAAAGTTTGAAACTTTTAGAGCAAGTTTTGAAAGCCCAACATTACTAAATTGTGAATTTCGCTACTTGCGATGTTGGTTTAACTTCCTCTTTTTCGATTATTATACACCACGCTCCGTCGGTCAGATGACCTACAACGATTATCCAGTGAAGCCCAGTCTGAAAAGAGAAGAATATAGAAGAGGTAGATGCCGTGAAAATAAGATTTTCTGACACGTGGGTAAAACACAGCTTCTGGCAACCTGACCTGCTGGTCTTGTTAGCAAAGAAAGATTTGTGGTAATATCCACTAGCTTTCCTTTTCACGGTCGGGGAGAAAGCATTTAACATATTTTTTTTACATTCTCTTTGCACGTCCTCTTTCTAGAAAATAAAAGTCTTATTGAAAACTACCAAGATCAGCAACAATTAAAATAGATATCACATGTAACTCGAAGAGAAAATAATGGCATAATCAAGATGCTAACATTCCACGCTACTTCAAATAAAACGTTAGTAAGGAAATCCTGATCAATACTATTAAAAGCGATGACGGCTTCTGGACTTGAGAAATCTGTTTTCATGAAAATTTGTTTTCAGGGAAAGATTTTATAAATTGCAACCGAAATCAGTTCTGGCTGCTGGGTCAATGAATACCAAATGTTTCGTTGTAGGGAAACGGCTATTGCCATGAGCATTACCATTTGACTTCTTCCTAGACGTTTTTATTATTTTATTATAAATTTTTGGTGAATATCAGGTAAATGCAGGCACTACCTTGGCCATTCACATATATTTGGTAAAGTCAACAGAAACTTTGAATGCTATTTTTGAAAGCTTTACGCTGCTAAATTTTGAATTTCGCTATTTGCGACTTCGGTACAATTTGCTAAAATAATCTTGGTTAACTTAATGAGAAGAAAGTCAATTCAAAATTGCGTAGCGCTGGGATTTCAAATATCGCCCACTTCACTAGTTGTAATCCAATCTGATAACTCTGCCCCGATAACAAACAATGGGCCTAGAACTAACCCACATTTTCTAACGTGATTTCCAATTTAAATAAAAATTTGATGACCGAAGTTTGTATATGTAACAATGTGATAAGCAGACATGTATATGATAGAGGCCCGCCTGTCTAATAGCCAAGATGACTGACGATGATATAAAGTCTATTAAAATCTAGTTCAGTGACTTTTCTCACAATATAAGCACAAAATCGACACCAACAACTACAACCAGAATTTAAAGTCGAAACATTCGTTCCATATTATCCCTTGCACCATATTGCTTTCTCCATTAGTTTTTTGTTGGGTTTTGGGGGTTTTTTTTTATAGGAGCAATCATCAATTATGAATCCATATTAGTACCTTCGACTTTTTTTTACTTTTCTGTCTTACCTCTACTTGTGTTAAACAAACAAATTCTAATTAAGGAATATTGTGAGCTTAATATATTCTGCCCTCGTTAGTTTTAAAGTCAATCACTTCTTATGCTTTTTCCATAACAATTGATTGTCCTGATTAACTGTGTCCAATTTTCAGAAATTAAATCGAATTCCAATAAGATTTTCGTTGCTGCAGGTAATACTCAAGCCGTAGGGACTACTTACTGGACACCATTAATTCTAAGCGCATTAATTTGGGGAACAGAAGAGAAGGTGAAAAGGAAATAAAATTAAACATTAGTATGCGTCAATTTTGACCCGTTTTTCACCTATTAAGTAATATTCTATGATTATTGCAATGGGAAAATGCATATCTATCTATCTATATATATATATATATAGAGAGAGAGAGAGAGAGAGTTTGAAGTTATGCAGAATACTTAGTAACTCGAATTTGCTTTAAACAATTTTTATCAAATTTTAAACGATTAGTTTAAAAGTAAAAAAATATTTTAGCTTTTTTTAATTTTTAGGTAGGTTCAACGTTCTTAAAGCTATTGAATTTATTATAAAAACTGCATTTTGAATTTATGCATATTAAACTAATATTAAAGACCATGATTTGTCTTGGGATTGATAGAGGAGTGGTTTCCCGTTGCTTTCTCCATGGTGGTTTATGGAGACACCACCTTTAGTTAGCTGGCTGTTGACTCAAAGAGTTCTTTCGCCCTTTGTTAGGTCTTGTTTTTCATCCTACTGGCTTGCTAACGAGCCGCCTCACTCGGAACGCAGAGTGGGGTAGTCGGTTTAGTCGCCGACATTTCGACTGGAATACTTACTGAAAAAGTAAAAAAAAGAAAACAAAACGTGACATCTGTCCTTCTTTATGACAGCGAATGTTGGACGATTTCCCCAAAGGTGAAGAAGAGACTCGAGGCAACGGAGATGTGGTTCTACAGAAGGATGCTAAGGATATCATGGGCCGAGCGTGTGAGCAACGATGAGGTCTTAGAGAGGATGCAAACAAGGAGGATGCTTATATTTAAAATCAGGAAGAGGCAGCTGAAGTTTCTGGGACACATAACGAGGAAGGAGGGCCTGGAAAATCTGATACTCACGGGTCGAATAGTGAGAAAGAGAGACAAGGGAAAACAACACATGACATACCTGGCGGCCTTAAGCAAATGGATGGCAGAACGTGGTTGTGGGAGGTGGCAGAGGGAAGGAACTCGTTTAAAGCTGAAAGGGATAGAAGGAGGTGGAGAGCCATGATCGCCTACGTCCTGAAAGGACACAGTACATAGAAAGAAAAAGAAGTGTTTAACACGTGTGAAATCTAATAAATATTATTCTTTTTCCATAATATATGTTGAAATATTGTTAATAAAAGGATTTGACAAATGCTAAAAAACATAACAAAGTTATTGATTGAGGGAATATCGACATTGGCGGAATCAAAAGAGATCCACAGTGATTACCAAACGATAAAAAAGACTGTTGAAATTATAACTAAGTTGAGAACTAAAAGCAAAGGAAAAGGAGTTAAGAATTTGTCTCCTCGAAGGAGACGTAACCTAAATAGAGTCATAGCGAAAACAACCACTTTTGACTATTGCTAAGATCATTGAACTTGCTGGAAATGAGGGAGTCAAGATGGACAAAAAGTCTAAAATCCTTCGCAAATTGAGATCTGTCAAGAAATCTCACAGGAAAACTCCTCTCGGTAAAGCAAATATTTTAAAGCGTCAAAACTGGCCCAAAAAATACTTTAAAACTGACTTTTTCTAAAGTAATTTTCACGGACAAATCTCAGGTGACACTCGATAGACCTGATGGGTAGGCCAAAGGATGGATTTTATCTTATGCAGACATGCCTATGGTTAAAGGAAAGCAGCAATGATGCGGCAATGTGATTATATGGGTTGGATTTGTTGACCAAACCATTATTGAACCATTCAAACGACTTAAACTGAATAGTGCTCACTATCTCACTTTCTTTAAATGGTACAAGTACCAACTTCGCAGTTTCAAAAGTAAATTGGGTTATTTATGCACGACAATGCTCCTTCTATTGTATCTAAGGTTAACCGTGAATTTATTGTGCGTAAAACGTTTACAGTAGAGGATATAAGAAAATAACCACCATCAAGTGTGAATCTGAATCTGATCGAAAATCTATGGTCAATTGTTGACGAGAACAGATAGATAGATAGATAGATAGATAGATAGATAGATAGATAGATAAGAACAGACTGAGATAGATAAATAGATAAAAACAGACTGAGTTATGGAGTGGTTTCACAGTGGAGGCTTGTATTTGTACTAAGTCGGTACTAAAATAGGTTCGACGTACAAAACGTTAGGAACTTGATATAATAGTTAATGACGCAGAGAAATCAAGTTGTGTTCGCTGATACTTTAGTATCCGACTAACGGTCGTCCGGCATCGATTGACTGACCGACCCACTGAGCGACCTGACTCGTTACTCTTACTACTCCTACTTATTATAGGTGGGAGAGTCTATTAACTATAGAATAGGTGTGTTCCAGTATAACAGATAGATAGACAGATACATACATACCAAAACGCTTACATAGATAGACAAATATCAAAACGTTTAGATAGATAGATAGATAGATAGATAGATAGATAGATAGATAGATAGATAGATAGATTGACAACACTCTCGTCTCGCGGATCAATTACTGATTCTGGTGAATTCGATCTTTATCTAGTGCCCCACTACAGTGGCCTTCCGTCAGACTAAGGTAAGCTTAGTAAACACTAGCAGTAGAGCCCGGCGTTGCCCGGGGATGTAACATTAAGAGATAGATCAAGTATCGACCATCATAAAGACTGAAAAATAAAATTGACAAAGATTATTGTTTAAGGTTGACGGACACGCATGTCTTAATTAATTTTTTTTTTTTGTTTTATTACGAATTGGTCAAACCCAAACTCAGACAAAAAAAATTGTTTTCAATCGTTATGAGTCTACCGATTGAATAGAATTTTATTATAAACAATTGTCTTGTAAATGGAATTTTTCAAGCATTCTGAATGTAAAAATAAAGAAAAAAATGTGCAAGAAAATAAGAAACACTACCTGCCAAAAAAAAAGTGAAGTTATGTTGAAATCGGTTGAAAAATGTAGAAATGCCGATCCCATATATAAACGAACACACACACACACACACACACACACACACACACACACACACACACACACACAAACAAACAAACAAACAACCTGGGTTTTATAATAAGTATAACTCAATATGAGTTGTCCCCCTTTCATTCTGGCGACAGAATCGTGTTTTCAAATTGATTTCGTGCAAAAACAATTGTGTTTTTCGAATTTTTGGCGCTGTCAGAACCAGCGCAAGGTAATTTTACGTAGTCCTGTGAAGTTTTGTTGAAATCGGTTGAAAAATGTTGGAAATCCGATCCAATATATAAACGTACAGACACACACACACACACACACACAATCTGCGTTTTATAATAAGTAAGATTCTAAATAATCTCACCATGGAGCAATGGTTAGCAAGCTAGTCACATTGACAATAATTACTGTTGTGACTTCTATCCTCATTGGATGTACCATATTCGTATCTTGAGCCATACTAATCTAAACCCAACAATCTATTACTCTTCTAGCCAGACAGCAAATGCCTCAACAAACGAGATTCAAAGTTTTCTTTGTTAAAAAAAACTTGGGAACTTGGATAATGAGGTTAGTTGATATTTCTGTATTTAAAACGTATTCTTTTCTGACTTTTGAATACTTATTTGCGTGTTGGCTTTATTTCCACTTTGCATCTTGTTAATAAGTGAACAGTGGATCTTCATCTTCTTCTCTACAATAGGAGAGAATAGATCGATTGACCATCTGCAAGAATTCTCACCAGTGCCAATTCTTCTGTTTGTGTTCGTGCCATTCTCCGGATTACCATACTTCGTTTTCTTTTACCCTTTCCAAGTAGATGCTTCTCACAAAAAGTCACGCCCCCTAAACAATGGCTCGACTAAGAATCGGATTTTGTTTTGTCATTTACACCCTTTGGAGACAAGACCATTTGTTTTCAATTGTGATTTCAGTCCTTATTTTGTGAAGATTCACGCATGCGCTTTTATTGGATTTCTTTACTATATCAGAATGCTGTGTAGATCTGAATATGTTAGCAAAAAAAAAGCGCCATGGCAACGAAAACTAGCTCACACGTTCGATTATTAGCAGAACAAGACCAACAATATGAGTTTACAACATGCAAAAGAAATCTCGCCTTAAATGTGAGTGAACCTGCTGAAAGTACGGAAAAAATAAATGAGTAAAAAAAAACACTACCGATATGGCATTTACTGCTTGTAAGTGTTTGAGTGCGTGTAAGTGCATAATGAAATAAACTAAATCAAGGAAACTACAAGAAAGCCTACAGAAAAAAGAAAGCGAGAAGAAAGGACTAAACATCAACTGCAAGAAGACAAAATACATGGTTGTTAGCAAAATGGACAGCCAAATACAACAATTTAAAACAAGCACAACAATGGACGTGCGTTGTGGTGTAATGGATATCAGCTCGGAATGACAAATCGGAGAGTAGAGTTCGAATTCCAGTCGAGTTCATTACATTCATTTACGCGCAAGGTGAAAAGTATGAATTCTTCTCTCTCCAGCTATAGGTTGAATAACAAGATAAACTGATTTCTATAGCCTTGGGTGACAACTAGTCTACCACAGAAAGAAATAGCAACTACTGCGAGAAATGGTAATATACTACGAGAAAATCTTCTGCCTAATCAGTCATGAATCGAAAGAAACATGATCGCTCAACAATTTAAAGCATCTGGGAAGTGTTTTAACAGAGGACGGAAAGTGCGACACTGAAATCCGAAGCTATGCAAAGTATTAAGAGTACTGAATATCAGTAATCCTCTTATATGGCAGTGAATTCTGGACTATCTTCTCACAGATGAAGAAGAGACTTGAGGTAACAGAAATGTGGCTCTACAGAAGGATGCTGAGAATACCATGAACTGAACATGTGAGCAACAGAAATAGAAACGAAAAGGACATACTTAATGTCAAGAAAAGAGAGTAGGGCGCATAATGAGAAAGATGGACTTGGAAATTTTGATACTCACAGGATAGATTAAAGACAAGATGGACAGAGATAACGCATAACCTACCTAGAGAGCTTGAGTAAATGGATGGTGCAGCAAGTTTTAGGAGAAATAACAAAAAGACAACATTTATTAAGAGCTACAAAGGACAGGGATTATGAACCGATCAGTGGGAGAATGTTTGTATGGTGCCTTCTGTCGAAGAAGATGAATGAAGGAAACGAGAATGGTGATCAAGAATAAAACAAAGCGACATTTATTGATAAAAGGATCAAACCGGCGAAAATGATTAAGTATATGAGAAGAAAATAATGAATGAGAGTTTGAGCATGTAATAAAATGTTTAAAATTTGGATCAACTGGCTTCGGAAGTTTGATTTCTATTTACTTTTGTTCGTCTTTGTATGTGTCTGTGGCTACCTGTTCGCCATTCTGGTTTTGTGGAGATTTACACGTCTTAACCCGAGGACGATTGGTGGTATTACATTCTTCCTAAAGCCAGATCATCTTCTGATTCACGCTACGCTAACTTCCACCACTGGCCGGATGTGCCCGCTCCGAAACCCAAGACTGAACAAAAATTCTATTCAACTGCGCATAGGGTTCGCACATAGCTTCCGTTTTTACTCACACACTCAAAAAAAAAATAAGCAATACAATCCAGAATTTTCACCCACTCTGGCTTTTCTTTTTATGTGCCGTGTCCTTTCAGGACGTAGGCAATCATGGCTCTCCACTTCTCTCTATTCCTTGTATCTCTTAATAAGTTTTGTCCTTTTGCTATTTCCCCCAGGCAATGTTCTGCCATCCACTTGCTTAAGCCCGCTAGGTATGTATGCGTTGCTTTAACTTGTCTCTCTTTCCCTCTATTCGACATGTGAGTATCAGATTCTCCAAGCCCTCCTTTCTCATTACGTGTCCCAGAAATTTCAGCTGCCTCTTCCAGATGTTAAGCATAAGCTTCTTCTTTGTCTGCATCCTCTCCAAAACTTCATCGTTGCTCAAACGCTCGGTCCATGATATCCTTAGCATCCTTCTGTAGAACCTTGGAGCCAATTTGAGTCTAATAAAAGACATTAAATCCCATCAAAGCAACATTTTGAATTGCGTCATGGTGCACTTTTTCTCACAGACGGTGCTTAACTGACCCTACTACACTGTGCAGTCAACAAAATCAAAAACAAACAACGCGCATGTGTGAAATTAAAAATATAAAATAGCGACAATTTACCCAATATATATATATATATATATATATATATATATATGAGCCAAAATCGAAACGCTTTTTTAATGACAATGCATTTCAGCTTCATGTACAAGGTTGGCATCTTCAAGTCAGGATTAAAAACAAAATTGTTTATGTTTTTGCATTGAAGTCATTATTGTCTGGCGTCTTCTGGATATAAATGAAAGAACAAAACTATGTTGTGTGTATGTGTGTGTGTTAAAGCTTTCTTTAACACACACACACAACATAATTTTGTTCTTTCATTTTAACCAGAAGACGCCAGACAATAATGACTTTAATGCAAAAACATACACAATGTCTGTTGGATTTTAAAACATACATAATGTCTGTTGGATTTTAAATTAGCCCATTCTGAGTAATAGAGAGAATGTTATTAGCTCATATTGTGCATTGTGTTGCAAATTACTTTTGCAATGATTGGTGAGATTATGTTTGAAGCTGGTCTTAGATATAGTGTCAAGGATTGTGAAGTCAGTGCACTTTCAATGCATTTTTTTTCTTAGTGAATACTTTTCTCCCCACATGAGACTGACATTTATAAATCAAAATTCAGGCCAGATGTACTGCAGTGAACTAACAATACGTTCAAAGTGTTGCTATGCGGTATCTCTCTGCGATGCTCATATAATCTTTTTTGAGATTTCTAATTGCTTTACCGATGTCATTAAAGAAGCTATTCCATTTTGTCTCATTTCTCCATTTTTGTTCAGATACTATTCTACACCATAATAACATACATATATATATATATAATAAATTCGTTGCTGCTTCATTTTATGTTTGTTGAAAATCCTCTTCTGTAGTTCCAGTCTTTAAGAACCCAGGTGAACTTTCTGGTCTTCTAACTGTCGGCCTGTTAACCCACTGTCTCTTTTTGGCAAAGTAGTAGAGTCTGTAATCACCTATGAATCAGTTAAGCATCTCACTTTGCAGGGTTTTCTTTCAGATAAGTAATAGGACCCTCACTTCTCTCGATCAACTACTAATGTATTAACAATTATTGTTGAAAGAGTCTATCAAGCTTTAGATAAGAATGGTGAAACTCGGCTGTTGCTTTAGATATCTTGAATGCATTTGACATAGTCTGGCAATCTTTCTTGTCAAATCGCAAAATAAAAGTTGTCTTGAACGGCCACTCTTCTAGATCTTTTTGCATCCATGCAGGTGTCAACCAGAACTCTATCCTTGAGTTTGGGTTGTTCTTAATTTTCATCAACGACCTTCTTGATGTCATTAGTTCCCAACTATTTACTCCTGTCTTAATTGTAAGTCAGATCGGTTCTATAAGGTGAAAATGGTGGTTGATCTAAAAAT